CTCGAGCAGAACGATTTCAAGTTTAACCAGAAGCGTATTGCGGAAATCAAATATTTAGGTGAGCTCTACAACTACAAGATGATTGATTCCCCCGTGATCTTCGATACGTTGTACCGCCTTATCACCTTTGGCCATGAAGGTGGTACCCCGGCCCCCGGAAAGATTTGTATGCTGGACTTGCCAGACGACTACTTCCGCTTGCGCTTGGCATGCACTCTTCTCGATACATGTGGCCACTGCTTCGACCGTGGTTCTGCCAAGAAGAAATTGGATTTCTTCCTTGCTTTCTTCCAGTACTACTTATTTACCAAGGACCCGTTGCCCATGGATGTCGACTTCCTTGTCCAGGATACGTACCACTTTATCCGCCCGCAGTGGAAGATTGCCACCGATGGCGAAGAAGCAACCCGGATTTTTAGCGAGGCTGTGGCCCTGAACTACAATGTTCAGGATTCCGAGAGACCGGTTGAACCCGACGAAGAAGATGCAGATAGCAGCTCTTCTGACGAGGATCTCGAGGAGGATGCTATTCCCGAAATAGACGAAGACCAGGAATCCAGCGATGAGGCCGAAGTAGGTCCCCCATCTTTTCTCCATGAAGTACGTCCCATTAACCCGTTTTACCCGTTGAAGGCGTCTGGACCCAACCTGGAGGCAAATGACGACAGCAATAGTGAGTCCGAGGACGAACAAATTGTTGTTACCAGACAGGAAGAGGAGCGAGACCCAGTTACCGAGGCTGAATTTGATCGAGAATTCGAGAAGATGATGGCTGAGAGCATGGACTCGAGACGTTTCGAACGAAAGACTGTCTTTGATATCCCTCTTCCCATGAAGCGCCCCCGCGAGAACATGCCCAGCCCTGAGCCAATCCCGGCAGAACCAGTTGCGCCCAAAACAATGGCCTTTTCCCTGATGACGAAGAAGGGAAACAAGCAACAGGTAGGACTTTCCATTCACATCCACATTGTTCTTTCCGCAAATTGTTAATCATTTCTAGACTCGCACCATCGATCTCCCGTCGGACTCAACCTTTGCTATTGCCATGCGGAGCCAGCAACAAGCCGATCGAGAAGAACAGCAACGCATTAAGAACCTGGTCCTGAACTACGAGGCGTCGACTGAACCCGAACCCACCGAGAGTGAGCAATATCCCCTGGCTAAACGGAAGAACTTCCAACTGAGATACCCCAAAGCAGCAACCCAAGAGAAGCGCACCCCCGCTGGCCAACGAATGGACAAAGCCGGTGCGAACCGGTCCGCTTTCCGTTCCCGTAAACTCCAGCTCAGCGACGTCAATTGGTAATGAATGCTGCCACTACCTGGACCGAGGTCCACATCCCACATCTTCACTAGATACAGCAGTCACACCTTTTCCGTGAAGGTTGCCATCCCGATATGGAACAACTCTCGTCTCTGCACTGCCTAGTGTGAAAATCCCATTGGTTCAACCCAATGAGCTTATCTATGGTATACGTCGCGCACAACGCGAGTATGCAATGCCGTATGAGTATGACCTCTAGAATCCGTTCTTGCTAATGAAATCTACTCCGTCGTGGGTTCCATCGAAATGGATGCACTCCTGTTGCTGCCCGGGATCCTTCTTTCATCGCTTCGCATCTTGACCGGTGCTTGAGCTGGCCGGAGAGCTTGATGTCGCATACAGATTCCCGAATCCCGATATGGTTGCCAATCGTCAATTAACACGGCGAACGCCATCACTTTGCTACCCTCTTGTGAAGATCGTTTAACCATTCGATCAAGGGGTGAGGGGGATTAAATGGCTTGGAAAATTAAAAGAATCAGTTAGACTGGATGGATACACAAATATGAATTTCATGCCGTCTATGTATCTATTAGCCATGATCTTGCTCAGCTCAGCGAAGCAAATAACAGAATTTTGAATTTCCTTACTATGCTAAAACTCCTAGATCCTAGATCTTAGATTTGATATCCAGCCTCTAATTAATTAGTCGAGAAATTCGGTGGTAATATACATAATGCGAAGGGGCAGAACGTGACTACACCCCAGGAGCGCAAATGATTTTGACACGTTCTCACCCAGACAGGAGCAATGAACAGTGATATTGGACGTCATGCACTTTCAGCTTTTCCAAATGTAAGAAATTGATCAGCTTGTTGTTTTCAACCACGAATATCTGGCCTCGGTTCGCCACTACTGCGGTTACAATCAACGACCACTACCCTTCCGTTTCGCGTCGTTCGCACGGTCACGAGTCTCTCTGAGCAAATGATAACACCAAATCCCGATCACGAGCACTTCGTCCGTTGTATGAGTGGACGATGGCTCTGGGATAAAGAAAAACAGCTCAGGGATAGGTTTAAGGCCTTTGACGTTGCTGAGCTCCAAAGCCTCGCGGCCAAAGCCGTTCGATCAGACATCTGTATCTCTATAACAAAGCTGGCTGAGGGAGGATATAGCAAGGTCTTCCGTTTGATCGAATGATAGAAAAAGAGTGCTTACTCGTATACCAAACCTAAATGCTGGTCCAGCGTTCTATTCGACCGTATCTAAAGTCGCTACCACGGAGCTTATAAGTTTACCTTAAATCAGTCAATCGCAAGGGCAGCTATCTTATGCTCAACCTAGGCTCGAGATTTCCTTCAAATTCCCGTGCCTCGAGTCTTTGATTAGAGTGCTACATTAAATAATACCGTTAGCTCGGAACATATCATTACATTATTATAGAAGAGTATCTAGTACATAGCTTGGACTCATCTGGAACTAGCTGAGTCCGGATAAAAAAACTTTCCAATATAAGGGAGGCAGTGACTATCGAGTCAAAGATGCTTGCAGTGTCGTATTCTCAGTATGTCTAACTTGTCATTCACAAACGCGTGCGAAATCTGACCATCTCGTCAGCTTTGGCAGTTTGTATTTCGCGAGTGATGCAGTGGAAAGCGTAGTTCCAGCCCTGCTCACCTCCGGAGCTTCCTCCGAACTCAAGGAGCGAGTATACTCTATGCGGATAAAGCTAAGTAAATACATCATGTGATTCATATAGATTTAAACCACCGTCGTGAATTTTCGGGTATTCTTAACCAGGTATGATACCATTGGTTTCGACAGAGCAATCTGATATGATTTTAGTTGTTCTTTGAAGGTGCCTTCGAGATGGCCTGTTTGGGTGTATGGAAAAAGCATATACCCCGTAGAGGTCTTTTCTATGTAAAAATTAGAGACCAGGCGCTCTTGTAAAACACGAGATACAATCTCTCTGCCTGGCCCTTGATGCAAAAGCTCTAATACTGGGTACCAGTCATGATGCAACAAGTCTATTCGATTCCCCCTCCTTTTTTTTGTCCGAGGAAACAAGAGCGTGAAGCATATCAGAAAAGTAAGTTACACATTGGGAGAGAGAAAGTTTTCGGAAGAATATAGAGGAGCGCAAACCGGGGGAATGGATGTGCTGAAAGTTCGCGGAGGGGAAAATGCATCGATGGCAAGATGAAAGATGGAGAGATGGCAGAAAGGTCTATATAATACACAACTCCAATCCTAGTTCCTGATGTGTGCATTACAAGAAAGAAATCAAGCAGTAGGCTTGTCTCTAGGGGAGGGTGGCGTCAAACAGGATGCAGGGATTTGAGAATTCATGTCTAGGCCTTTGTGGCCGGGTTCTTCTCATCGGCATCATGCGCAGCCTTGGGGATGAGGAAATCACCCTCACTGTTCTCGCCTGCAGCAGCGGCGTCGGCCTTCACCTCGGCGTGGACGTCCTTGGCGCGGGCCTGCTTCTCAGTGGGGTTCGACAACGCATCCAGCTCGGCGGCAGTGGTGGAAATCTCGGGAGTAGCGGAAGCTTCGGAGGAGGCGGGAGCATCGGACTGCGGTTGGGGCTCATCGTCGTCTTCCAGCTCGGCGCCATAAACTTCGGGGTATTGCCGGAAGCAATCTTGCATTGCCCTACAAAAATCGTTAGCACAGGACCATCGCCCTCAAAACGAACAGTAAAACGTACTTAAATTTATCAATGCAGTCGATGCCCTTGGGCTCTTCCTCAGAGAAGACGAAACAGCTGAATGCAGCCTTGAAATTCTCTCCGCAAGGCCCGTGGGCCATGCCTCCAAGGCAAGGACAGTCCCAGTTGATCTCGCCGGTCTCCGGGTTGAAAGCAGCCTCCTGGCTCGCCTCCTCCTGGAGCTCCTGGGCGTTCAGATCACCTTCCAAAGCAGTAGGCTCACTCTTCTGGGACTGCGCGGCAGCTCGTTCTTGTCGAATCTTAGGAGTAATGGAATCGAGTGTCTGGGGACTGGCATCATCGCTATTTTGTTTCCGGATCGAAGAAAGGATAGAGACTAAAGCAAAACAGGAGCAGTATTAGCGATTTGCGGTTCCAGAACTCATTATTCTTGACTGCGACGGGATTGTCGCAGCTTGCAGCTTCGGAATCGAGGAACAAGGGCAACCCCAGTTTCAATCGGCGAGACGTACACTTCGGCTCTTCAGAGAAAACACTGCTCGTGTTGTAGTAGTAGACAGCACCACCAGCCAAGCCCAATCGCAAGAAAGTGTTCTTCCAGCTTCTCGACTTGGTTGGACCGGTGCTTATCAATCGCCTGTGCGCTGGTGTACGGGCTGCGACAGTAGGCGCGCGGGCGAGCGCTCGAGCAGCGGGACGAAACATAATATGCGAGAAGCGTGGGAATCAATCGAATTGACCGAGAGTTCCTCCAAGAAGGGATTGAGAGGAGGGGAGTCAGGCACCGCGGGATGGAGAAGTTGGAAAGCGATGTGGATTTTGGCCTGAGGTTGTTCTGCCCGCGTCAGCCAGTCACGTTGCAGCTCAAGTCAAGATAATCACATCGTCACCACGCAACCCTTGTGGGCTTTGATTTTCTGGTTTTGTTTACAAATTTTGGACAAGTACAGTTTGATTTGTGTTCACCTCTTGCAATGGAGTGGGACCCCAGTCGATTCTTCCGTTCTGAGGGAAGTCCTTCGCCTTACGCTCTTCTCATCCTCAATCAGCCAATCAATGAGAAAGCTTTTGGGGTGTTGGGCAAATATGGTAAGTTTCCACTTGAAAAATGTACAAGCACATAATGTTGAATAAGAAAAACTGATCCCAATACAGCATCCTACATCATTTGCGCCGACGGAGGTGCCAATCGGCTTTTTGATATGCCAGAAGGTCATGAAAAAGAACCTAACGAAGTTAGCGATACCTGTGGTTACTTCTGTAATCCCCCCGGGCAGCAACTAAAGCGCTAAGTGCTGCACAACTAAGATCAAGCTGACCAGAGATATAGCTTCCTGACTGCATTGTCGGCGACCTTGATTCTATCCGCCCCGCAGTGCGAGAACACTATGAGAGACTCGGAGTGCATGTCCTCCAAGATCCAGATCAATACTCAACAGACTTCACAAAGTGTCTGACATATCTCAACGCACATGCTGCAGAGATTATAGCTTCTCCCCGAAAAGGAGCAAAAACTGCCAAATCAGACACGAATGGCGCAGGTGGAAGCACATCAACCTCACCATCCGATCAATCGCCTCTGGAAATTGTAATCCTCGGCGGTCTAGGCGGCCGCGTGGATCAAGCCTTTTCCCAAGTCCACCATTTGTATATGATGACACAGACGCAGCGCTCAATCCGTGAGAATGAAACTAACACCTCAACTCCCGATGCCAAGCCAGCTGCAGGTGGGAACCTTTATCTCGTCTCCGAGGAAAGCATTACCTTCATCATACAAACGGGGAAGAATACAATCCACACGCCAGCAACAAAACGAGCAGACATTGCGACAACGTCGGCATCTGATGTAAGCAAGTCACCGAGAAAACGGAAGCGTGAGCAAGAGCAGGAGCAAGAACAAGAACCGGAATACTTCTTTGAAGAAAATATCGGGATCATTCCCCTCTCGGCACCCGCCAATATTACAACTCATGGGTTTGAATGGGACGTGGAGAACTGGCATACCGAGATTGGAGGGCAAATATCCACGAGTAACCATATTCGTGCCGATAAGGTGGAGGTTGAGACCTCTGTGCCGGTTTTGTTCACAGTGGAGTTGGCGGAGAGGTTGAAGAGGTGATCCTGGGCGTGAAGTATGACTCTGGGCACGGGGGTTAATAGGGACCTCTGTGCGGGAGCCCTCACGCCTCACGGAGCCTGAGCTATCAGAGTGACATATCGCTCTCGCAAATTTGCGCTTCAGCCCCTTCATAGCAACCCTTATGATAAATTGGCTTTGACCAACCGCTGCGTACCACTCCTTTTGATCATTACAAGAAGATTGCCATGGGCTTCTGTTTTGACCTCTGGGGCTCTTCAAAAACTGCATGACTCCAAGAACCTGCTCGGGATCCTTTCTTTGTCATCGGTCTCTCTGATGCTGGAGGAGCCTCCACCATATACTATATTAAGGCCGAAGCCAACATTAGACAGTCGTCCGCAGCATGGGTAAACTCGACTATACTTATACTACTACACTCAGATACCTCTGTTCCGGACTAGAAAATCATGGGTCGGCCATTAGAGAAAAATGGGGAGATTCTTCTCCCAAAAAGATTGTCAGAACAAGAACCAGAACCCCAAGGCGCCTTTTGTGGCTAGAACAAGAGACCAATAAAGACAAAGGAAAGCGAAGGTAAGAAAGCAACCCAAAATCGCATATCGCATAATCCACATGCCAGTGACTAAAAAGTTGAACCCACAAACAAACCCAAAAACAACCCTGGAGACGAACAGGATCACAATCATCTAAACCCACCGACTAACCACTCCTCGCCAGATCATCTGTACAGCCTCAAAACACTCATGTCCAGTCTCCTATGGGCGGTGCAGAATAGCCTCATACAGAGCACTAACACCGCCGACAGCGGATCCAGTCAAGAGACCAATGCTTCCACCAGGGACGGAGTCAACAACCTTTCCAACAGCATACCGGCTATAAATACCAAAGAAGTTGAAATCATTTCCAAACACAACGTGCACTAGCAACGCCTTAACGATGTTGAAAGTCAATGGATCAAACTGGGCAAGATTAGACGCAGACCGAATGCGGCGTGCACTGCTAGAAGCTTTCCAGCTCAAGTTGACAAAGTAGGCAGAAACCAAAGGCAAAACCAGACAAGTGAGGAACCACAGTGAAAATGGCGCCCAGAACGCACCTTCCAGCAGAACAAACAGATCAGGAACACGGATAGGAATAGCTGGAATCTGCGCAACTTGCACCGGTGGTGTAGTAGTAAGGTAGCGTATCGGAATCAACTCTTTTGCAAGACTGCCACTCTCAAATAGCAGCACAATGATCTCAATGGCCTTCACGCTGCTCAGCATTGCGCGTAGAGAGTGCGCCCGATCTACCAAGCCTGTAGCAGTCCATACATCCTCTATGCTCTCGCGCAGCTTGAGCGTCTGCGCATCGATGGCTTCGGTGATGGCAGCTGGGGACGCTGGCAGTGATGGCTCGGGGTCCACGACGGTTGCGAGAACTGCTGGTTGACGGGGGCTTTGGCGGGGTGTCTGGCGCGAAGACTGACGTACGGTTGTGCGCGCCACAGCCGGAGTCGGGCTGACTACAGCTGGGCTAGGCACTTCTTCTTCCACAACCTCGCTAATGCGTGGGTTAGCATGCGTGCGATGACCATCGCTGGAGTGGCGCATTGGCGGCGCTCTTACGAAATTTCTTCTTCCTTCACTTCTTTCTTCACTGAGCGGCGTGCTGGAGTTCGCGCTTGGGTTCGCGCGGTTTCGCGCTTGACGGGCGATCCTCTGCGGGGTGGAGAGGCCAGGCGCGAGTAGTATTCGGAGAGGCTCTTGAGTCCAGAGAAGATAGACTGGTTTTCACGGAGGTGTCTGTCCAGCACTACTACAAGATCATTTTTGTTATATTTATCGTAGCTGTTGATTTGATTAGCTCAGTCTGTGCGTGCGACAATCGCATTCGAACTTACTGTGGAAGGTCCGTCTGATCAGCCAACTCGGTCAATTCGGGCTTTTTCAGCGACTTGAGATAAGGAAGAGACATATCGTATCCGATATCAACGCAGGAAATTGGACCAATGTCAAACAGAAAAGTAAATACTGGGGAGGGGGAAGAAGATGCAAGGGAGGGGAGTGGCTAGTAATTGTTTACATCCGCAGATCGCCACAACAAAACACGGTTTAGCGCGTTCACTCCCTTTGTTCAACGTCACTCCTCTGTGATGAACTTTTATCTCGTTCGTTTTTAGCTATTTTTTTTTAAAATTAGGCAATCTAAGTCATAATAGATAGGTTTCATTTTGATCTATATCTTATACAATTTGCCCTTTTCCCTTGGATGTTAGCAAAAAACCACACAAACGGAAATAACAACCCTGGAGCATGTGCCGAAAAGTGACGAAATATGTATAATATGGAGTTGAAAAAAGGTTTATGGTACAGGAGGCCGCAGCCAGTCTAGTGATCTATCACAGAGTAGGGTACACAGTATACAAAGTGCTCAAAGCACCTAGGGTCATAACATCCCAGATCGGGAAAAAGAATCCAACGCCCCCCATTTCCCAATGATCAAACAATGTGAAAAAAAGAACCGCAACCTTGGAAACGCAGGCAGTTAAAATGAAAGGCCTTACAAAGAATCTTCGAGCATCTGGTAAGCCTCGAGTTGTTTCAGCAGGTACTGATACATAACCAGCATAGTCCCGCTTTGGATGCTAGTCCATACACCGCGTGGACCCACGCCACGAAACCATCCAGCAATACCTTCAGTTCGGTAGATCATTTTCAACCCCGTGAACACGGAGGAAGTGTCAAGTCGAGGCGCACCAGGCGGTGGGATTGATGTGTTTGCTCCTGATGTGGAGATTGGTCGCGAGTGTGCCCGGGAAGGGTGAGAATGTGATGATGCCGGTGCGTGCGGCCGGGAACTTTCTTTCGGTGCGTGTTCCACACCATTTTTAGCACCCGAGGAACCGGATGGGGGTTCTAGGGGGTTTTGCTGGGTTTGGATGCGCGTTTTGACCACATCCATCGGACAGGTGATTACACCGGCCATACCACCGGCGGTAGCGGCTGTCAAGATCTCCAATCCCAGACCGATGTCCCGTTTCCCAGCCCATTGTTTAGCCATAGATTGCTCTTTCTCGTAGAATGCGAATTGAAGCGCCGAAAATGGGAGGTCGCGGAAGATAGTGGCCTTGTAGCCGTGGAATAATGCCGAAAATCCTTCCAGGCGGACGATTTGGCGGAACCCATCTCGCATATTCCGGTAGTTGTAGCCCGAGTTGAAATGTGGGTTGTTGTATCGGCCCTGCAACTGGAGTCGCGTTTTCAGCACCTCGGATGGCACATAGATAACGGACGCAGCCAAGTCGGCAAAGAAACCACCTGATAGATAAGCGATGCTGGGGTTGATCCCCGAGTCGATCATCAAGCGCTTGGTATATTCATAGACTCCGAAGAAGATCACGGTTCCAGGAAACGAGCCGAGGAGTGCCGGCGTTACTCCTCCATATAATCCACGACAGAACCCTTCTTGGCGGTAGATAGTTGAATAAGACTGGCCCATCGATGTGTATTTGGGCGGAAAGGTCGGATCGCCTTGTTGCCGGGTCTTAACTGTGTCTAACGAGTGCATCAACATGTCACCGCATGTTCCTCCGGTCCCACCAGCTAGCATCGCCTATAATTTCAAATCAGGTCAGTCCTAACAATGGTGTGATGCCACTAGGGACAATTGTACATGTAGGTATGGCGGCCGAGGCTCCTCATCCTCCAACAGCGCGAGGTCATCAGTTCGAACAGTGTGACTTGGATCATCGATTCTACCCTTTGAAGTGGGTTGTGTCCATACTGAGGTAGGCGAGTCCCCCGCAGGCGATGCTGTTGAGTCTGAGGTCGCTGTCGAGAACAGGCCGAACACCCGCGAGGTCAGGCTCATGGCAATATTGTGCCAAACTGCAATCCCGATCGATAGTGGTCGGGACCAGGTTGGGGATTAGGGGGTGCTGAGAGGTTGAATGGGAGAGGAGCACCCCTGGGAGGTAAGGATAAGAAGAAAGAGTGACAAGAGATCGATAAAGGATTGATTAGTATTGCTTGCGAGATGATTATTCCACCAGCCAAAATTCTGATCGGCCTCTTTTCGCCGCCAAGCCCGATCTGCCGCCTCAGGCATGAATCACGGGATTTCGTCATTGAAGGATTGTGGTCCCTAGGTGGTCGTCAGCGAATCTGGCGACTTGATGCCCCTACGATTGTTAGGGCCTGATCTGTGCTGCAATGATAAATAGACATTCTGTTCGTCCTTGTGATTCTTTGGTCTTAGTGGTTAAATGGTATTATGGAACATATCAGGAGTAGCGGCCTAATTTGCCAACAGGATTACAATTATGGAAATAGCTTATAGCATGGATAGCCATGTATTTTTGGTTCGAGGTGCTCTCATCCATTGGTGTGATGAGATAAGATGATTCGTTCCTATAAATCTGTAAATTAGCGTGTTAGTTGTCCTCCCACAAAACTATACATGTACACATCTATATATTCCTGCATGCTTGCTTTACAAAACGGTGAATTATGCCAGGAATATCAAGTATAAACTGGGATGTATCTTTATGTGTGGGCAATAACTGTACCTAGTCGTATCACCATTTGAAAAAGTGACCAACTTCACACCCCAGTAATCACCTTTATTTCTCGTTAGAATTTACTGAGATTCAAATTGGAGTTAAAGAAACTCTGGATTCAATTCATATGAAAATTTGGGCTCTCTACGAGCCGAAAATATAAATCCACCGGACTCGAGAGATAAAATTTCAGGGGCCGGTTAACTCTTTCCCTCCTCAAAACAAAGAAAATCGCCCTATTTCCACCGGATACCAGTGAAATTATCGCGATGGGTTGGGTTATAAAAGCGATTCAAATTTGAGGAGGGTACCAGTCAACACATTTTTGCTCTGCATGTGGCCCAATGGTTGAGTTTATTTTCAAGCCAGTCCAGGGTCTTGTTCAAATTTAGTGGCCCCCTGTCATGTCAAAGTTGACTTCTTTGAAAATGCTGCATCGACCACAATTTTTGCCAAAGCCTTCATGCTCATGCGCGTTTCCAGCAAATCCAGCATGCTGATATCCGCCATGAAGCTCGTATTGAGCCAATTCCGGAGTTCGGCCGCGATCAAACTATCGACACCATACTCAGAAACCGTCCTTGTCGGATCCACCCCCGAGGCGTCGATAAACAACATCTCCGCGACGGTGTTTTGGATTGCTCCGGTAACCATCTCCTCCACCTTGCTGCGGCCAACAGAACCGTTGATGGCAGCTTCAAAGTCATCCCGTAGAATTCCACCTGCATTGTTGTTGGCATTGTTGGCACTTTTGTCATTGTGGTGGCGCTCCGCATCTTCGAATGCACGCATAACCAAGGAGACGCGCGCGTCAGTGTACCATTTTGGACGAATATTACCCGGCCCGCCAGCGGAGCTAGCCAATTCATCTATCTTCTTGGCTGCCAGAAGAGCGGGATCGAGACAGGTGACCGTGCTGCCAGCGGAGAGAGGGTCATCAGATGCCCCGATCCAGGAATCTCGGCCTCCTTTGCTTTTCTGAACTGGAAAAGGGTTATTGTTGAGAAAGGCTGGCTCCAACAGGCGCAGAAACTGATACTCTGTGATTCCGAGCACCTTGTTACGAGCCATCAGATTGATAGTAGTGATATTAGTGCTGAGATGGCCGACATCTGTGATCAAACCGAACGATGCAGTGGAAGCGGGCAGTCCCTGACTGCGGCGGTATCGTGCAAACACTTCCTGGAAGTTGTTGGCCGCCGTGTAGGCGCTTTGAGTTGCAAGGGCGAGGACGGATTCAAGAGAAGTCGTCATAACGAAGAAGTCCAAGGGCAGAGATTTAGTCGCTTCATGAAGATTTTGGGTGCCTAATACCTTGGCAGAAAGACCCAAATTCCATTTGCATGGGGTCAATTTGTCGAAAGATAGATCCTATTATGATTTAGAATGTCAGCATTGTAGTAACCTTAAACGAAAGATTATCGTGAAATTAGGGGTTAATGAAGAAAAAAAAAAACCTCGTAAGAGACAGCCGTGTGAACAATTCCCCTGACGGGTCTTTTTGCAGATGCCTCTTCTATGGCCCGGTCCACATCTTCAGAGACACTGACATCGCAGCGAACTGACCGGACTGTGGCACCAAGAGAGGCCATTCTGCTGACCAACAATCCTGCTTCAGGGGAACTATTTCCACTTCGCGATAAGATCGTAAAGTGTCTAGCTCCGCAGGTAGACATCCAAGCGATGATGCTACGCCCCATGCCACTAAAGCCACCGCTAACAACATATTCTGCATCCGGATCGAACTGGGCTCAGGGTACCGGAGGAACCATCTTGACCAATGAATCAGGTGTTTGGAAGTTGACGACCAGCTTTCCGATGTGAGTGCCCTTGGAAAAGCCCAGCAGTGTTTGATCCAGCTCCGACACATTCGAGGCCAAGATGGCCGGAATAGGCGCAATGTTCCCAGCACGGAAATGTTCATCGACTGACTGCATCAGGATTTGGCTCATTTCAGGCTGAGCCTCCACGATGACTCCGAGGTCAAACGAGGAGAAGGTGGCGCTCTTTTGAAACAGGGCCAGATTGAGGGTCATGGAATTTTGTACATCGACTCGTCCAACATCTATGATTCGGCCGAGCGGAGCAAGAGCCTTGATGGACTCATGTAACATGTCACCTTGGGATGTGCTGAGAATAACATTAAATCCACGACCCCCAGTTGCGTCTGTCATCTTGGGAAAATCGGCGGTGGCTCGAGATGAAAAGATCCTAGAAGCGGGAATTCTGAACACTTCTGCGAGATACTTCGCTTTGTCTGCAGTGCCTACTGTGGCGAAAACCTCAGCACCTATCGACTGTGCTAATTGAATAGCCGCCATTCCCAGACCACCAGTGGCGGACTGGATGAGAAGTTTCTCCCCCCTTTTTAGCTTCGTAGCGTAAGAGAATCCGTAGACCACTGTCATGTATACCAGTGGCATGGTGGCCATTTTCAACAAGTCGTCTTCAGGGTGCAGGTGCTGGGCTGTAGCGGCGTGGACGCGCACGTAATTACCAAAATGGCCCTTTCCAAGACCATACACTCGATCGCCGACAGAGATATTGGTGACTGCGGATCCTACACGATAGACTATGCCAGAATACTCAGACGATAGGGTGTTCATATCAAATCGACCGGCGGAGATGGCGAGGTCTTTCCAATTCAAACCCACGGCAGCCACCTTAATTTCCACCCAGTCATCTGGGAGAGGCTTCCACATATCCTCACAAGGCTTGAAGTAAAGCGAAGTCAAGAGACCGGGGGTCTCAAAGTCCGCACGTACAGGACCGTGATTATCAAAGCAAAGTGGTTTTGCGCGTGCCGGTGGCAACTCAGCTAATTCAAGCTGATCCTTCAGTCCCGGGTCGGGCACCAGGCGACTGACCCATAGACATTCATCCTGCCACACAAATTCGTTGTCATCCCCATAATACAGAGAGCTGGGGGTTTGTAAAGATGATTCAAGTTTGAGAATGGTACCAGCCAGAGTCCCTGTAGGACTATCGGGATTAACATCGATGGAAAGGAACCGAGAAGTGGGATTCTCTGTCCCAATAGTGCGCAATAAACCGATTGAAATAGCAGCACTGGGATTTTTTCCTTGGATGATGCCCCCGTATGTGACAAGAATCATGCTTGATGCATTGCGGAAGAGGCTTTGGAATTTTTCCATTCGATGCTGGTCAATCTGGATTAAATGGTTGTCACTATCGAGGAAAGCGATGACTCGACTGTGAGGGGGGACGGTGACAACATCAAACGAGCACGATTTCACAACAAAGCCTTTTTCCTTGAAGTGCGCGAAAGTTTGTACTGCGAGTGAAGAGGGGTCTCTCTGTTCATGAAGGAAGTATACCTCCTCGCTGTTCAAATCTGTCAGCTGCCTTGGGACCGTTGATATGGTACCTTCAACTACAGTAGACAAAAAAGTACAAGCAGTAGTATACGGTTGAGGGTAATCATCCAACACCAGATCTGTCCCACTAAAACCGTTTGCCAGAAGAGATGCATTCCATCCGCTTGAGTCCAAAAATGGACTGTCAACACGACCATCCGATCTGCCACTCCAGTAACCTGTTAAGGTTCCCAGAATAAGGCCGTGGCCAATGACAGTGCGTGTGTTCTCCACTATAATCAACCTACCACCAGGCTTGAGCAGCTTGCGACAGTTCGAGAGAGTCTGGGAAATGTTGGTCGTTGCATGCAGGCAATCTGAGGCTACCACAACATCATAGAAAGGCTGACAGCCATTCTCTAGTGGATCCTGCTCCACGTTCAGAACCGAGAAGTGCACATCATTGTATTCCTCTCCAAGCATCTCTTTGGCGGCTCCCACAAGCCCACTGGAGATATTAGTAAAGGTGTAACTCTTGTACCGCTTAATCCCATCTCTCTCGGAGAGAGTATCGAGAATGATTCGTGTGGCACCACCTGTACCTGCTCCTATTTCAATGATATCAAGACTAGGGGTGGCATGGCCAATAGCGTCAAAACACCTCCGAACCTGAGGATAGGCTCCCGCCAAGATGATCCCCTCCTCGTACATTGCCGTCAACAAACCGTCCTGCGCAAGAACGTCCATTCCAGTCTTGCGCTCGTATAACACATCCTCGATATTCTGGAACATATGGCGAGCTACCCTGGCATCGGCACAGTGATCGATTTGCTCGTATATCTGGTCAATACACAGAAGCCTTTCGGCGCTTGTTAAACCCTTGGCTTCGACAACCCATTCATTGTAATTGTTCGTCTGACGTTGTGCCCAGAAAAGGAAATTTCGGATATGCTCAGAGCGATGGGACAGATCTGACCGACTACCGTAGCGGTCAGCAATATCGACTACCATAAGTGTCCCAGTCTGTCAAACAGGTCAAAGAGGTACGTCTTTGCAATGCTGTCCGATGGAGGATAAAATAGCACCTTGGCCTGAGCATTACTCATAGACCTGATGTCTGGCTTCCAAGTCAGCCGGAAAATAGGTGCAGAAAATGCAGCACTGCTGTTCGCAGCAGTGTTCAGAGGAACATCAGCGACAGAGCGGATGCTAAAGCTGATCCACGAAGGTTTCTTTGCCGTAGTTGATTCCAAAAGTTGCAGACTCAGCAAAACCTCAACACCATAATCGTCTTCTGGAATGCGCATGGCAGATTTGATTGACACATTCTGCAAAGAGAAACCTGTAATGCTAAGAGGTTCTGAAAAATCCTGAATATAGGCCTGGGAGGCAGCTTCGACGGCCATCATCAGGTATCCAGCCCCCGGGAAAACCGGATGAGGGAGAAGACGGTGATCGCCCATCCACGGCAAGTCCTTGAGTCGAAGAAAATTCCGCCACTGAGGATTTAGTTTGGCGTTTCCGGGCAGTTTCGATCCCAAGAGATCGTGACGCAGAGTCGTCCGTGATCTGATTTCCTTACTGATACGACTCTCGTAGTATTGGATAGGGCCGTATGTGTACTGGTAAGGGGGGAGATCAATTGCCATGCACCCATGCACATAGGAGAGCGACCTATTTGCCTGGACACGGTCGGTGGAATTTACTGCTGCGAGATCAATCCCAGCGTTGAGGCCAAACAAGGTCCCAACCAACTGCAGCAGACAAAGCTGGCCATCTTCACCTCGCCGTAGCGCGGATATATACGGCGTATCAACGCCAATGCTCTTCATAATCTGGCCAATAGGTCCCTTGAGAGCGGCATGAGGCCCAATTTCGATGATAGCATCAACTTTCTGAGCCAGTTGAGAAGTAGCCTCCCAAAAGCAAACAGGTGACTCGACATTAGATCGCCAGTATGAGGCATTGATTTTGACCATGTCCATTCTCTCGTGCGGGACCACCGAAGAGAACCAAGAAACGGCGGGTGATTGGGATTGTGGCTCAATGATACCCAGGCGCCGGGTGTGCTCAAGACCCTCGGTCAGCATACGCTCACATTCTTCACCCAGTGCTAGCATGTGATGAGAATGGTAGGCAACTCCCCGGTCTGGAGCATTCGATTGAATACACCGTCTTCGTTCATCCTTTCAGAGACGACTTTTATAGCGTCTTTGTCCCCGGAAAGAGTCAGGCTGATGGGTGAGTTGAAAGCTGCAACCCTCACTTTCATCTCGAATTTAGACAAGTACTTCTCAACCGCATCCAACTCAAGACCAACAGCTAGCATTAGTCCTTCCTTTGGGTTGTGAGAGATGCCCTGATATCGACAGTATGCTGTGATAATGGCATCTACGGCGGTGATGCGTCTAGCTGCGTAGGCTGCGGCAATCTCACCCGACGAGTGGCCAGCCACGGCGACAGGCTCAACCTTCCACGAGCGAAGCAGGTCCACTAACCCCACTTGAAGAGCGATGCAGACCGTCTGAGATACCAAAGGCACGTTAATAAGATCTGATGCACAGTTACCTGTGAGAACATCCTGCAGCTTCCAATCACCCGAGAAGTTGGGCAGTTGTGCAAGGGCTTGGTCCAGGTACAGGATAGTGTTCTTGAAAACCGCATATTGGAATAGGCCCTCTCCCATGGCATGCCATTGGGCACCTTGGCCCGTGAAGATGAAGCCAAGTCTGGTCTTTTGCGAGTTGCTGGCGAACACTTTGTATTTGTCCGTGAGCAGACTTTCTCTAACGTTGTCCGTATCGACGATCCTGTACGTTCGTTGGATAAATTTGCTTCGTTTTGCCGACAGGGTTTAAGCTACATCTGCCAACGAGTAGTTCGTGATTACCTTTGAAAGAGCTTCGATGTTCAACTTCAAAGATGCTTCATTGTGGGCGGAAAAGGCAGTAGCACACGGTTCCGCGTGTTTGCATAAGCCTTTTTGACCATATTTAAAGAGGGCTGCATATCAGAAGGTAGCAGTGGTTTAAGAGTACCCTTATTCAAGGCCCCTGGAGAAAGGCCAAGCTTTGAGCCCCCCTTCACGTCGCTATCACTTTGCTGCCCCAAAGGACAATTGTCACTGAAAGTCGGACTGATATCAAGTAGGATTGAAAGCTCGGAGATCAACCCAGGCTTGGTATATCCCGGCAGGACGTCTTGCACGTGGTCAATGATACAGTGACCATTTGCACCTCCGTACCCGAACGAATTGATACTTGCGCGTCGAAGCTTTCCTGCGGGCCCTGATCGGGACGAAGTCGTTGCCGTCGGTGCTCGCAAAGTAGGTTGTAGAGATGAAATTCACCACCTGGGAGCTAATTTGGTGTGCGATGGGTCTCTTGTCGTCTTTGCAAGAGGCGACGAAGGTGTCAACCGTCTTGGCGAAGGTCTCAAAGACCTCCCTCAG